TGTGTGTGTGCCTATTTTTTAATGCATCCAATGATCTTTCAGTATCCATGGATACCGAATATTTCTATCTATTTAATCAAATATGTTTATATGAGCATATGTTCATGTGTACACATGTGTGTGTGTGTGTGTGTGTGTGTGAAAATTGGAACACAAACTTAGATGCCATCCTCAAAAATACTATTACATTTTTTTAGACAGGATTTTCTTACTGGTCTTGGGAACACTGTGTTGGCTAGACTTGTCTTTTAAGACCCAGAGATCCTCTGTCCCTGCCTGCACATCACACAGTGAAAAATGTATACTATTATACTTGGTATTTTTATGTGAGTCTTGGAATGAAACTCAGAATTTCATACTCACAAGGCAAGTGATTGAACTAGCTGCCATTTTTAGCAAATTATTTACCGTATTACTAGTATGTGTTGGATTTTGAACTGGTAGGCATGAGTGACACAAAGAAAAAAAATCAATATGACTTGAGGAATACATAGTCTAATGCTAAAACTGACATAGCGCACAGTGTGATAACAATGACACACACATACACACCGAGGGGGAGAGAGAGAGAGAGAGAGAGAGAGAGAGAGAGAGGGAGAGGGAGAGAGAGGGAGAGAGAGGGAGGGGGAGGTGGGGTCAGGCTGTTGTGGTTGTCTCAAATGAAAGCAAGAGAGCGCCTGGTCAAAGCTTGATAATTCACCTCCTGTAGGATTTGAGACTTACTTCTGAAGGTCTTGCCAACAAATGCTCAATACTAACTAATCAATTTGTCATTTATAAAGAAATCTGAGATAAATTCTGGAATATAAGCATTTAAATCTCACTGATCTGAAGCCTTGTGAATGAGAATGCTCACTGGTGGCAAATGTTAATGAACGATTAGAGGAATGTGAGATTAGCAAGTGCAAACTCAGCAAAGGTATAGCAAAAGTCTAGGCAAGACATAGCTGAGTTGGAGCAGTGTTGCATAAAAGGGAAGCATATGGAGGAATGTGAGGTGGAACACCATCAAAGGCAAACAGTGTAAAAAGAGGGACAGTTACAAGAAGTCTCTCAGATGTTCCTATTGTTGGGGAGGGCAGGTGACAGTGTTAGGAAATAGGAAACAGCTCTGAAGAGTGAAGAGGACTCCGCAGACAGTGTTTTCCTGTATCCCTGCACATCTGAAGGGTTTCAGAGACAGCTCGTGTCAGAAGGCATCACCATGGAGGGTTTTTTCCCTGTGTGTTAACTGAAGAGCTAGAAGGCATCACCAAGCTTACTCAATAGGCAAGCATGTACTGACCACGAGGGCGCCCGGTACCCCAATCTCTACAAATGGCAGCACTGCAAATGGAGGCAGAGTGACCAAGTAGACCTCTGCTGCTCTCTGTAACTGCTTGGAATGATGACTTACCAGTCTTGTTATCTGGGATAAACCCACTCACTAGTCCAGAGCCTGTTGTCAGTCGCAAGATGAAAACAAAGCTGCTACTTTAATTCTGTACCAGGCAACAAAGAAAGGGCAATGTGACCCGAAGTAACCTAAGTAGATGCTCCTATTCATGACCTTAAACAATGAGAGGAAACTTTGAAGACAGTGAGATTTCCAATGCCTAGGAATGTTCTGGTGGTAGAGAATGGACAAGGGTACTATTGGAGAACTAATATACCTAAGGAAGCTAAAAAAAGAACTCTCCAAGTTAGTCAGACTTGGTTTCTAGCTGCTTTCCACAAACAGAAGAGTTAAGAGTAGAAACAGGAAAGAAAAAACAAAACAAAACAACCCCCCCAAAAAAAACCCAAAACAAACCAGTCAGCCCTTATAACGATACTCGAGGCTATATAGGGAAAAACAATATTTTTATTTATCAGGGAGAGAGAGAGTCGCACATACCAGGAGTTAGAAGCATGGCTGGCTTCCAGGAGAAAAGAGGGAGGCCCCTTTTCCTTTCACTACCTTTTATCTCTACCTTGACCCCACCCTGTTGGGCGGGTAGCTTTGTGGGGTTCACTCCTACAAGCCCTGAATTAGAGAACACAGACATCAGAGGAAATCAACTTGATTAAAGAATATTTTAGGCATTGCTTACTTCCTTGGGAATACCATTCTAACTGTTTTTGCTGTTACACATTTTCTTGAAGCTATTTGTGCTTATGACTGTCGGTAAGTGAGAGAAGATAGCTGTGAAGGAATATAGCTTGCATACTCCCTGAGTTTATACCATGAGACTTTCAGGCAATGAGGACTACATAGTGAACCAGAGAAGTAGTGCCTGACTCTGAGTCCAGTAGTTTGTTGACATTTCAGGATTTTCTTCTATAACTATATAAACACGCAGAGAGAATGGCAGTTTTTATCATGTCTCCAATACTGGTTAGTACACAATTTTTGATTACTAAATAATCAGATTTTATTTGAGAACAATAATCTTTGACAGTCATTGTCCATGTGTTGTCTACCCTATCCGTGTTTTTCCTGTGTACTTCTCCAATGAGGGTTGAGAGGTATACTAATCTGTGTGTCTAAGGGTAAGATTTTACATGTTACTTAAATTTATGTCCATTTACCAGGCACATGTCCACTCAATTGCATGTCAGAGCTATGTTTAGCTCATGTTAAAATAGTGCATGCTGAGCCAGGTGGTGGTGGCACACCTTTAATCCCAGCACTTGGGAGGCAGAGGCAGGCGGATCTCTGTGAATTCGAGGCCGGGCTGGTCTGACAGCCTCCAAAACAATACAGAGAAACCCTGTCTTGTAAAAAACAAAACAAAAAAAAATAGTGCATGCTGGGGAATTATGGGATGGATGAAAGCCTTTATGCTACAAGGAAATATAAGCACAGAGTAATCATTGCTCTTTCTCCATAGTAGATGATTAAATGGTACAAAATTTCACTATCTTCAGCAGAATTGTTCTGATTATTTTATATTATTCTTTCTTTCTTTAATTCTTCTTTTCTCTATCTCTTTCTCAGTAAGGCATCTGTAGTGCCATCCATCCTGAAAGGATCATGTCAGGTTTACTCTTGATGTGTGTTTTTGGATGTTACCTGAGGTAGCATCTATAATAATAACCCTTAGAATACCTTTTTTCTCTGTAGGATCCAAAATGGTATTATGATTAGGTTAAGATTTTAGATTTTTAAAAAAATACTGGTGTGATTCAGGTGCTAGAATTTCAGGGACACTTGATCTCTCAGCAGTTGAGAAGTGGGGGCAGAAGGATCTGGAGTCTAAGGGAAGCCTTTACAATATGGACATTTAAGGCTAAGACTGTCTATATGAGTTTGAGAACCAATTGGGCTACATGGATATCCTGTTATACAGTAAGTTAAAACAAAATGATAATCAGGTATCAGATCCTCAGTATGTCATGATTCTCATGAGAGGGTTTTTTTTAAATCATGGTTCAAATTTGAATATTAGGTGAAATATACTTTCTGTTCCTTTGTAACCATCCTGGAGATTCCTGATTTCCTGAGTACAGCAGCTGTTCAGGGCCATCCTATGCTGACTGTCTTCATTATAGAGAAAATGATTTATAGTTCATATGAATCAGTGACATGGACTAAGAGCAGCTAAGATCTTTATTATATGAGACAGCATGCATAAAGACACATATTAAAATATAACCTTTAATGTCTAATATGCAAATAATGTGTTAATATTTTTCCTTTTCCCTCTTAATACCTCACCCTGGAGAGTAAAGTCTTTATTTAATAGTGTAGCTGGAAAAGATTTATTGTTAGAGGTAGAGTTGTAAGAGACCTATGAATTAAATATATGCTAATTAGGAGAGAGATAGGATTATATCTAAGACAATGTTTCTACAACAGGACACAGACTTTTCTTTCTAATTAAAATTTAAGTTGCTTGAGAATGTAATTAATGTGTCAAAAACACAGGAAGAGAAATATAAAGAATGAAATATAAGACCCATATTCATTGTTTTGAGGGATTGACAAAGGGGAGAAAAGCTGTATTTTATAAATAAGTAGGTGTGTTTTCATGAATTCATGCATAGCATAAATGCATTTGAAAGACATTTTTCTTTCACATACCAGAAAATCTAAATGGTCTTTTACAAACTAATTGAAACATGCATTCCAACAAGTTAAAATAAGGATATTTAAATGATTCCTAAGCCAAGGGATCCATGATTAACATGAAATATTCAATACAGCGTCACAAATCAGTTTGGCATATATTCAAGATGTTTTCCAATACTATCTTTCAATACAAGTATGAGATCATGTTGCATGAACAAAATTAGGTGTAGGCTCTTTTCATAATATCATGACTCCATGGCAAAAATCAGAAACTCTTACACCTTTCCTCAATATGAATCCAGGGATGCAGAAGTCCCTGGAATTCAGGAATCTACAGGCTAGCTTCAAAGGAGGAGAGAGGATATTTCTTCTACACACTTCAAATCTCAGAAATTTAGACTAAATAAGATAATTTTATTCAATATACAGGTCTTTAGAAGGCAGTTGTAAATATATTTGTGGACAGTACTACACAAATGGTAACTCTCTTATCAAAGCGTATTAAAATCTCACATTTATTCAGTGATATTTATAAAGGTGTTGAAAAGACTCAAGCCTGACAAACAGGATAGACTGAACCAGCATGTACATTGTGTTTCCTTCACTTAAACAATATATAGCTTAGATTTCCTGCTGCATAACAACAAAGCCATTGTGGATTGACGACTATAAATTCATTTATTATGAGCTCCTATTATATGCATCTGTGAAGAAAAAAAATGAACAGATTGGCTAAACTGTAGCCCTACTGGGAAGTAACATCTTTATTTAAAGTAATATTTCTAACATTTTGTTGGTTTGTTCAACATGTAATTTTGCCAGGCAGATTGTTTGGGGGGAGATTTTTGTTTTGTTTTGTTATGCTTATTGAGAAAAACGTGCTGACTCCTCATTCTTTTCTTTCACACCATTTTATGAAAGAATTTTCATATTTATTTTTCGTTTTTTTCCATTAATTTTTCCTCAGGTGTAATCTAGCTCCTGTGGTGGAGTTTGCTGCGGATGTGGGGACTAAATCAGATTTTATTACCATGAACCCATCAGTTGTGCAAAGAGCATTTGGAGGCTTTCGGAATGAGAGTGACAGAGAAAAGTTTGTGCATAGACTTTCCATGCTGAATGACAGTGTCCTTTGGATCCCCGCTTTCATGGTCAAAGGAGGAGAGAAGCACGTGGAATGGGTTAATGCATTAATCCTTAAGAATAAGCTGAAAGTGCGAACTGCCTATCCATCATTGAGACTTATTCATGCTGTCAGAGGGTAAGTGGCTGGAAAGGACCAGGCTGTCCTTGGCACGATGAACACATAACGAAAGGTTTTCTCTAGCCAGGAAAGAACATCAGGAAGACCTCCACAATAAACACATCTTCATTATTTTATACCACTTCCCTTATTTTCATATGTGAATTTATTTGCATACTTAGTCTTTTTTCTCACCCACTTTGGAAAATCAAATTCTTCAATTTGACATTGATGTCTGCTCATGAACAAAGTACTGATTTTAATGTCTTTCTGTGACTGGAGTTTGCAGTAAAACTGATGACGTTTAAATGACTGGTGGCAACAGAAATAGTAAATGTCTGTAGGTAATGTGGTGGACTCACCAGTGTTCCATTATGTATATTCGTTATATAATAAAAATCTATATACTTCTCTATATTTCCCTATGTTAGTTATATATAATACATACACAGAGATCTTGAATACTAGTGTAGCTTTCATAACACATTATACAAAGCAGTATATTCAAGAATTACTTTTGACTTTTTTCTTTAATATTTAGCAAAAATATAAAAAGTAATGTTATATTTGGAAAAACTCGTGGTATTTAAAAGTTAATATAATCACAAAAGAATGGGTAGGAAAAAGATAAGCTGGCAATAACATAGACATATATATTCTATATGATCTTTTATATATACCCCTATATATTGACATTGCTTAATTGGTAAACTAGTAAGTATTTGCACATATACTAACAAGTACACATGACATATTAGTATTTCACATATTAGTTGTATTTTATGTAACAGAATAATAATTATCTGTATTGCTCCATGTTGTTTTGTTATCTATTTACACATGAAATGGAGTGCCAGGATTTATTATGTCCTGTAACCACAGCACTGGGAAAGCTGAGTTGGAAGGGTCTTCAGTTTGAGGAAAGATTGTGCTACACAAGGCTGTACTGGATACAAAGTGAGATTCTACCTAAACAAACACACACACAAATTACAGTGTCAATAGACAGTGAATTCCCATACATTACTGATTCAAGTGCAACCTGGAATCTCTTGCAATTCTCAGAAATTCATTCTTTCATTGTCAGATGTACAACAAAAGCGTCCTATTTTGTAATTATGTTGTGGTTATTTAATGTGTTCTGCTGAACTTCATCTTGTGTTGAAAACATATTCTTTTGCATTAGTTACTTCCAGTGACTATATTTTTCACTATTTCTCTCAATCAGTGTAGAACATAATTTTCTAACTCATCTACACTTGTGCAGATAGCATCATTATTTCTTTTACATTTTTCTTAAAATAAAATTATGTTGAAGAAGACAGTTTTGAGCTGAAGTTTCCAGGAATTTGCTGAGCAATTGCTATAATCCCTTGTCATCTACTCTTTAAAGGTCTTGTATTATTACTTTACAAATGTCACAAGTACATAATTCTTCACTAAGGTCGGGGAATGACATTAAGTTAGAAGGAACTAAACATGGACCATTTCTCCCCCCATCTCTCTGCAGGAGGCATCTGTGTGCGACAGACTGTTGTCTTGTCAGGGTCATTTTTCTATAAGTAAAAGAAAACCATACATACAGAACTTGGTGTGCTAGACCTTGTGACACTTCTAAGTCTTAACAATAACAACAAAACTTTTTTCATGCTTCATAGAATCAAACATATATTTTTCAATTTTACTAATGACACAATTCCTATTTCAAAATTCACTTGAGTTTGTCATTCAGATGTGGAAGTCTGCTCATTTAAGCATGTGCAAAAATAGATAAGAGTGCTGTGTGGAGGTAAGGTATTTCTCTCCAGGAAAATTTCATGTGTGCATTTCTAGCCTTCAGAAGTGTGAACCAGGCCAGATGCCAGCAGAGTGTCCAATTAAACATAGGCAGAAATATCTCCTAGGCACCCTTGAGGACATTGAGTCTGTTGTAGTCATTCAAACAGACTGCTTTGGACTATTAAGTCAACTCAAAGTCACATAAAGAAAAGGCAAGATGAAAAGACTTGGAAAAGGAAACTGTTCACTACAAGTAATTTCTGAAAATGGCTTATTTGTTTGAATTTTAACTTGTTTGAAAACATTCCCATGTGTTTCTCTTTTGACCTATGTGCAATACAGTGGAAACATTTCTGTTTAAAACATGTGGTCTGGTTTATTCTTTTTGATTAGCGATACAATGCATAGTAGTTTTAAACTACTGGCATTTCTCTAAAGGAAGAATACTTCTCTCCATTTTTCTGAGAATATTCATACCCGAGGCAGCATCATTTGACAGTGAATTAATCTTTAGTCACAATATTATTTCTTTGTGGCTTCCATTATTTACTCTATACTAGGAAATATGACAATATAAGTGGCGCCTGGCAGTGGTGGCGCACGCCTTTAATCCCAGCACTCGGGAAGCAGAAGCAGGTGGATCTCTGTGAGTTCGAGGCCGGGCTGGACCGATAGCCTCCAAAACAATACAGAGAGACCCTATCTCATAAAAACCAAAAAAAAAAAAAAAAGACAATGTAAGTGGCTTACATCCAAAAAGACATTCATAAGTGGGTGGATTCAATCTGATCCAAATGTTAACAACACATTTTTAAAATTTTTGACCACTGGGACAATGAGATTTATTTTAGAAACGGAAGCCTTCAGTGCACGTCTTTGTCATGAACATACCCTGAGTTACTTCCTGGATACGTGTTCTCCCTGTGGTCTGTGAATACTCTTTGTTTTCTTTCTTAATCTCAGTTTAAAAGTTCCAGTTCCACACAAGCCGTTTCCTTCTTGCAAGAGTGGCTACAAGTTGTGCATATCTCTGTTGTACGTCGTTAAAATGTGTTCCCACTTTTCATGACAGCTAGGATCAATGCCTTAATATCTTTACATACCTAATAGGAAACGCTAAGTTCTCTTGCCAAGGCCTGTTTCATGTTGGCACATATGAGCAGAGAGCAAGATGCTGTCTTGAAAAGGCCAAACATGTACAGAAGCAGCTGAGGGTTGTCTGCAAGCAACTAAGGATACAATGAAATCAATAAAAGTGAGGGGGTGATTTACTAATTAGAAATTGTGTTCTCTTTGGAGAATTACGGTGGAGAGAAAACCTGTCCCTCTAAGTCTTAGATGCAAATAATGGGAGCAGACACTTATAGCATCCTCTGACAATAAATTAATTAATAAAGCTGATATGCTTTAGTTTATTCCCAGTATCTACTAAGTTGCGAAGTTGATACTTAGCTAAATTTTACCTTCTTGTGGTAGTGTAGTGATAAAATGTAAGAGCAGATGGTGATTGAAAAGTGACTGGATGTATCAATTAGGAGTGGACTCCACAAAATCTCTAGGAATGGCAAAAACTACAGAATTGAAATCTCACAAATATATACATCTAAGCATGACCTGAGCAATTATGACACCAATAAACATGCTATATGGAAGTCACAAAGCTCATAAATCCTAAATTCTAGATAAATAACTATAGCCATCTAGGGTAGATTGAGAAAGGGAGAAATAGCCTTCCTCAGTAAACAGCACAGATGGTTATCCAATAGGAAATGGTCATCCCTGGAAACATACACACAAGTACACTTCACAAATGGAGTAATTTCTACTTATGTGTTGAGGAATATCCGCATGCATGCACATGCACACACACACACACACACACACACACAGACGCACACAGCAACAATCATAGAAAATGAGGCTATGAATTGTAAAATAGCAAGAGATATAGATGGGAGAGATTGAAGTGAGTGAAGAGGGATATACAATATCATTATATTGTAATTTAAAAAACTAATATATATATGTATATATTTCAAAATAGTAATTGGACTATATTAATTGGAACATCAAGTCTACACATTACAAATTTGCATTATTGTCTGAGAAAAGCAACTGAGTAATATAATTTAATCACTTACTTTTCTTTTGCATATTATCTACCAATATTCATTAAATGTCTTATTTTAAGCAATTTATTTAATATATTAATTTTAACTTAATAATTTAGAATATCATGTGATTGTGTACTTTTCAGAATTGCTGAAAACATTTTAGCCTTGGGGGAAAAATCTTGATTTTAATATTTTTTCAGATTCTCTGCCTGCAATTTAGTAATCACAGCAGAAGTTCATATTATATATGATCTATATATTTTTAAGAGCTATAGTAAACAGATGTACTTTCTCATAAATTATATTCATTATAACTGTTTTTATTCTGCTTTTCTACTTGATTGCATTTTTTTGCTCTTTTTTCTCTTTTAATGAAAAAAGTTCTTCAATATCTAGTAATATGGTTTCCCATCCCCCCAACTCCTCCTAAATCCTTCTCACCTCGCTCCAAGTTCTTTCTTTCTCTCCCTTCCTTTAGAAAGCAAACAAATCTATCTTTCTACTATAAGATTTATTCTTCAGACAACCGTACCAATTTGAATATGTCTAAGCATATTCAAAAAGACTTTTGAATTAAGTATCCAATAAGTTTTTTAAAAGTGTCAGTTTAGCTGGTGGCTCAGTGACAGGGTCCTTGTCTCCCATGTGCAAGACCCTGGTTTATCCTTCAATATTAAGACAATATTGCTATTTGTTCTTTTTCTGAAGTAGGCTAGCTATAGTTGAATTTGATAACAGTAGTTTCAGAGGCTTTCCTGGGAGACTGATCATAAGCGATCAGCTTACTGGTGCTCCTAATGTGGTTCATACCATGGTCAGATCCTCAAGCTGTATGTTGAAATTATTGGTAATTCAAGCTATATAATATCAGTAATAATAAAAACAAAATCTTGTGAGGTATCTTGACCATGAGATTAGCCATATAGGAAATTCATTTTGATAGATTCTGTTTGTTGCTGAGACCATTGTGAGAGTACAGCATGGATGGTCCATGTGGGAAATGTCCAGGGAAGTGACTTTCTTGCTTCCCCTACCCTCTAATCCTACCAACTCCCTACCTACCCAAATCCACATCCTTATGTTTTTCTCCTAGAAAACAAGCAGGGATGGAGGGGGAGCTAGAGG